ATAGCCAATTCAAGCTTCCATGTAATGAAATAGCTAGAAACTATTGTTCCTTCCCTTGTATAATTTAGCATGTGTGTGGAATTTTGTCACTGTTACTGTTAAAAAACTGGGACTTGAAATCTGGGACTTGCCTGTCTTTTGCAAACAATCCAGAGATTTACCAATAAATATAAATCTTTACTCTTTATTTAGAGCCACTAGTAGAAGTATTTCAAACTCTTTCATACTAAATCACACTGGGTCATGTTCTTATCAACCAATCATGGATTATAATTGAGTCTGAAACAGCCCCTGAAGACTTCTGTTGAAAATGATGGGGTTTTTTACAAGCTGCTTATTAACTTACAATGCTCAAGATTATGGAATATATTCCTCAGATTTTTCTCTTAAAGAATCTGATGTGCAGTATATAAGCATCAAGGTTACTTTTATTATTGTATTTGCCATTAAAGTATATTTCATTTATAATTAAAAATCTTGATGCTGTTTAAACTTCCAGGAGGGCTGTATAACTCATGAATTTCTTCACAGCGTTAATTTGTAGTTGAGAACCACAGGATTTATTTCCATAAGAATAGGTATAAATGCAATTGTAGTAATAACCATTTATTTACAGTATTTTTTATGGAATATTAAGAAGCTTGATTTTTTCTGGGGACCTATTGATCTATTGATGTATAAGCTCAGCCTTATGTTCCTTTCTTAATGCAAGGGCTAGAAAGGAAAAAATATAGTAAAGGAAAGAATAAACTGAAATGTCAGTGAGAAGGTACAAGCTATATTTTTCTTACCCATTGAAGAAATGAGGAAATACCTCTCCCCATATTGTTGAGAACAAGATAAATTTATTCCAGAATCCAAAGAGACTTCTTTTGCAGTTACACAGTGTATGTTAATTTAGAAACAGGTGCTGATGCATTCAATGGTACTTGTAAGAAGACCAGTGTAGAAACTAGTAAAACATGGATCTTCATATTAGATTGATATTTAGTTCAAATAGGGTTATGGTCCTCTAGGCATTTTAAATTGTTTATTTTTGGAATGGAGTGATTTAGTGGTTTAGAAGTGCTGACACCTCTGTGAATATTGCTTCTCTTTCTGCATAGTATTGTGAGATCAGCTGTTCAAACATTCTTATTTACCATGAGAAAATGAACTGACCGGTATGTTTTTACCAAAATCTCTGATATATTGCTGGTCAGAAGCAAAGGCCTTGCTTTCTTTTCATACTCAGTTGCATCATCTACAACAAATATGGTACCGTTGGTACTGAATCACATTAATGTGTTCAATGTAGAGGTTTTTTTCAGAATGTTTTCACTTTTCAAGGTTGCAATAAATTGGCCATATGTCTGTTCTCTCTATACCAGGGACCCGTTGACTTCAACTCCTAGAATTCCAAGCTGGCTCAGGAATTCTGGGAGTTGAAGTCCATGAGTCATAAAAGAGCCAAGGTTGCCTACCCCTGCTCTATACTTTAAACACATGGATTGGAGAGGACATTTAGCTGCTCTCAGAGTTGTTTAGCTCAAAAGTTCTTCTGCTACATTTCTCATTAGATGATAAACAGTCAGCAGAATAGCCTGATCCCATAGGAGAAAATGTGCACCTTATCTGCCAGAAGGTTCAACAATGAGAACTACTTTCATGTGCCTGAAATAATCACAGTGAAGTTATTTTATTGTTTGTCATGGCATACAAGAAATTGCTTGTGACTTCTGCTCCCCCCCCCATTTTGCTATCTCATCAGTTTCTTCTACTATCATTGTGTTATTGGTATTTTTTGATTATTACAATAGTGGCTATCTTTGTTCTGTTTAATTTGAAGTTCTTTACATCTATTTATCTTTGTGCCTTCTCCTTCTGTCCTGTAAGAAAATTTGTAATATCATAAATAGTTGAGTGGTGATCAACACGATTTGTAATGTATCTTGCAGCTTTTTCTTACTAAACCACATCTGAATTATCTACCCAGCTGAATTAAATGAAAATCTTCCAAGGCTCCTGAACAACTAGAAAACCCACATTTTCCTTAGCAAAAGCCAGCAGGACACTGCAGTCAGTCTTAATACAGGATTATACAATCACATTTGCTTCATGCATATATTGTATTTTAGATGTACTCTTAAAATACCTTATTGGACTGGGCTTGGGTTTCATGTTCAAAGGAAAAAAAAAGTCTTCTTTCAGGAGCACACAGCTTCCAAATTCAAATGCTGCACAACCATAATACTTAGAGGAGAAAGTCATTTAGGGTCAGCTGGTAGTCCTCTAAAAGATTTGTATGAAATGAGTGAAGTTGTCTGACTACCAATAAAGTGACATTATGTCTTGTCCTAAATAATAGTACTGAAATCAGGAAAGCTTCATATAAACCAAAGTGGATATTTGTGCAGAAGAACTGAACTCTAGTCAGATCTAATCTCCAGTTCTTGGACTCATTCTAGTCATTTCATTCTAACTGAATATCTTCTGCATTAGTCTCTAGATGATGCATTTCAGCCTTCTTATGAAAACAAAGATGGGCAGTTCTGAAGTCTGCCCTTCCCTGAAGGATACTTGTTAAAACCAATGAAGTTTAACTTAGTCATGTTGGGCCCAATTAATTCCAGTGGAGCTACTCCAAATATGATTACCAATTTAATGTTGTTATTCATCCATGCTTACATTAGAATTTTAATTAAATGTGAACTGTGTGGCTGCTTTCTACAAAATCAGCAGCTCTCCTTTTAATCAAGGTCTCTGGTATGGTTCGGAGATCTAAACAGAGATAATGAAGTGTGTGTGTGTGTGTGTGTGTGGGCATAAACTCACATGTATACACAGATTTGTGAGGTTAGTTTCTATTTTTATTCTTTTTTTCCCTCTTTTTAAAATTTAAAGCACGTGGACCATTTTGTTGATTGATGGATTAGTGCTTTTAAGAAAGAAATACCATACACATGTCATAATCTGATATATATTTTGTCCTCTGGGGGGGTGGAGGTGGTGGTGGGGAGAAAACCCATCTCATGTATGAACTGGCTAAAGAATATAGAAGCATCTGTTTCATAATATATAGTGATCATCACCAGGAGATATACAGCTGCTTTATATTATATAAATTGTTGTGTAGTCGAGCGGGATCTCTCCAGATAATTATCCAGGAATGTTTCAAATGACGGCATATGTAACAAAGCATTGCATGAACTGGACTGAATCTTTGTAATTTTCCAGTTATGCTTAAAGAAGAAGTCTAAATCAGTCACCTATATGCAGGCTACTAAATACCACATTCCCATGGGCCGTAGGAAGAATGCAATCATGAAATTCTATTGAAAAAGGAAAGACTGCGAAAAATATTTCGACGTAGACAGCCACCATAGAAATCAGGAATTTGAAGAACAAGAAAGCTCGTACGCTATACACATAAAACCTTTGACCTATAAAACCTGAAAAAGCTGAGTGGGGGATTTTATTATTGCAAGAAATGCCGATCCTAATAGGAGATTGCTTTTTTCTTAAATTCTTCTTAGAGTATGAGTCAAAGTATTTCTGTGATGAGGGACCAAGCTTTCTTAGTTGTGGCTTCTTGGTTATGGAACATATTTTCCATTCCATTTGCTTGGTATCCTTTCTGATATTGTTTAGTTTAGACATGGCTACCTATGCAGATTTTGAACAAAACTGAAGATATTTTAACTATGGAACCTGCTCTCCCCATGTTGAATAAGGAGATGCTGAAATGACTGTGAATCCATCTTCTTCCAATCTTGACATAGTATGCTAGACATTTGTTTGCATTTGAATGAATGCACGTAGAAATATCATTCAGATCTGGATTAATGTAGCAAGCTTGGGAGCAGCATAAGGAAGATTGATTTGTGCTTAGAACAGCCACTGAAAAAAAATCCAACTAATATTCTATAGTGTTTTGTGGAGTATATTCACCATTAGCCACATATTAAGGGGGGATCCTCTGTGAAATCTTGTTAGTCTTGTAATACTGGATGGTATCTTGAAAATCGTGTAAAACTAAAATGGAGAATCCGTGGCCCTTCAGAAGTTGGTGAATTACAGCTACCAACATTCTTCACCACTGAAGTTTTGGTTGTTTGGTTAAAACCACTGGGTATTCTAGGTCAGCTATAACTGGAAAACTGAAGACTGCTACCCATCCACCCAACTGATAGATTTATTAAGATACCCATACAAATGAGTAGAGAATTATCGTTAACTGAAGTCAGTCAGTATTTGGTTTCCCTAGGGAAGGGAGCACAAGTTTGTTCAGGCAAATTTAAATTAAAATTGACTTACAATTTAATTTAAACCATTTGATGTTATTCTCATTGTATTTAACATTTTTCCTTTATATTACATAAAATATAATAATTGGGCAATCCAGATCCAGCTTTTGTGTCTTCTGTCTGACCCTCAGCCTGCACGTTGTACATTCTTGCCTGGTAAAATGATAGTGTTAATGGAAAGAGACCTTTCACTGGGTCAATTTGTGGGGCTGATTGGGATTTTCAAAAATTGTTAGTAGACGAATTTTTATTGCTGACAAGTTTGTTCAAAAGGTGAAGCTTATTGAATACAAATTGAAGGAACTGAAGTACTGATATTCCCCAAAGGCTATTTCTACACAAAATTGAATTTTAGGGGGGGGTATTTTTCCACATCTTACAATCCACCTTTATCTATTATGATTAATGGGTTGATGTCTTAATGTATTGTATTTTTAATTCTTTTTAAGCCAAGCTTAAAATGTTTTCCATTTTGTTTAAGCATCTGATAGCATTTGGCCTATCTAATCTGTGTCATCCATAAATCTTCATAAAATAACCATTACCTTTTAAATTACTTATGTCATACCATTATCTCCACTGATGAAATTTTAAATGTAAGATGGTGACGGATGATCTGCTAAAAGTGGCCTCTAAAGTAATAGTGCCAGATTCTTGTGGTTTATGATAGCAGAACTGTTGTTAATATTTAATTCCTGCTGTTCTCTATTATAGCCCATCTCTGCCTGCCTTGGATTGGCAGTTGCCATCTCACTCAGGACCTTATGAACTTCAGATTGAAGTGCAGCCGAAGTCCCATCACCGAGCCCATTATGAGACGGAAGGCAGTCGAGGAGCTGTCAAGGCGTCTGCTGGGGGACATCCAGTGGTGCAGGTAATAGCATTATTCTTGGCAGCATGTGTATTTTTTTTTAAAACCAACATCCTTAATAAGGCAAGTAAAATGACCTTATATTGAATGTAAGTATGTACTCTGTTTTGGTGGATGGAAAAAGTCTTATTTGTTCGACCAAGAGCTGCTTAGTGAGTATTTCATACTTTATGATAGGTACACCATTTGCTCCTGGAATTCTTCAGAATAGATATTATATGAAAGGTCTAACTATATGCCCAACCTTGGTGATGCCAGTTCAATGCAAAATCTGGTGTTTCCTTGTTGTTCTCTGTTGAATTAGTCTGCTACCTAAAGTGAATGGAAAAGGTTGTTATGGAGGAAGTACAGTTTTCATCTGAGGCTTGGGGTTCCAAGAAACTAGCCAAGGGACTCATCATCCCTTATAATTCAGTGTAAGTAAACTAGTTTATAATGTTTCTTTATTGACATAACTAACAACCCAAGATGAACTATGAAGTAAGGCATCAGGCTAGAAACCAGTTCTAGTCCTACCTTAGACATGAAAGACCAGCTAGGTGACTTTGGGCCATCCTTACAGGGTTGTTGTTGTGGGGAAAAAGAAGGGGGACAAAAGAGTATTAGGTATATTCACCGCCTAATTAAAAAAACAATAATAAAGACAGGATAAATGTAAACATACATACATACATAAATAGGGAGAGGCAAAGTTCTTTATATTAGATTTCCTCATATTCCTAACTGTAGATTCATTTCTGCCTGTTTCTGTATTGTTTGTAAATTCTCTCTCTCTCTCTCTCTCTCTCTCTCTCTCTCTCTCTCTCTCTCTCTCTCTCACACACACACACACACACACACACACACACACAGAGGGGCATTCTTCCTGCTTCTACATTGTACACATTTGAATACATTCTTTTGCATATGCGCTATTTGCAAGTGATATCCTTCTGATACATTTTGTACTTTCTCAAATATGTGCCTTTTTATTACAATATTTTCAATATACAGATTTCTGTATCCATGCTTTGAATTGCAAAGCATCATATTCCACATAAACTTTTGAAAAGTACTCATTTCTCTGTATAAATGCATTTTGACTTCCTTGAAGGGCATAAAGATAGGAATTGGGGCAGGTCATAAAAAACAGAATTGAACCAAAAAATGTCTCCTCCATCCCAATTTCTATGGTGATATCCTCCTGATAGAACTTCCTTCTCATAAATATCCATTGGTCATTCAATTTCATTATATTTTTTAGTATAAAATACCTTGCTCCCTTTAGTTTTAAATTGAAAGTTGCACTTTTGAACATTGTTATTGTTCATGTTGCAAGCTTCATCATCTGAAAGCAGTTGAAAATTCTAAATTCAAGGGAGACACCCAGCAAAACTTGTGCCAGTTTGATTTTACTAATATATTAGCATGAAGTACCCTTAGCATGGTTCACTATTAACAACTGCTTCTCTTCCTGTCTCACAGTATTCCTCTTTATTTTACATGTGATATTTAAAGTGAAATTTATACAGTGCACTTGTTCCTTAGGATATATTTTGCTAGCTGCCTAAAATGTGCGAGGAGAGATAGGTTGTAGATGGGAGGCATGAGTTCACAATAGCCAATTTGACATTTAAAATTTCCACTCAGTGATTGGAAAAAAACAAAATGCAGTGCCAACATTTAATTGAGTTAAATGTATCCAGGAACCACCACCACCACCACCCCCTCCCCGCAGTCTTTTTCTATGGTGTATGGAAATAAAACAAAACATGATGCATGTTGTATTTAGATAGAATTGTGGAAAAGAAAAAAGGGAAATGCCGGAAGGAAAAAAGGAAAGCAAAATTCCGATCAGTGGAATGATACCAAACTTCCTCCTGTTTTTTATTCCAAGCGACAGATGATGTGCTTGTTTTATGTGAAATATAACAGGATTTTGAAGGGTTACCTTCCCACCCACCCCTTGTATTTTTCACCTATTTGGGCAGGCTTGTCCTCTACTAGTGAATACAGGTAGTCCTTGACTTATGAACACAATTGAGCTTAAACTTTATGTTGCTAAGTGAGAGATTTGTTAAATGAGTTTTGCCCCATTTTATGATCTTTCTTGCCTCAGTTGTTAATCACTGCAGTTGATAAATTAGTAACCCGGTTGATAAGTGAATCTGGCTTCCCCATGGACTTTGCTTGTCAGAAGGTCACAGAAAGGTGATCACATGATCTTGGGACATTGCATTTGTCATAAATACATGTCAGTTGCCAAGCACCTGAATTTTGATCACATGATGCTGCAAAGGTCATAACTGAAAACCAGTCATAAGTCATGTTTTTCAGTGCTGTTGTAACTTTGAACTATCACTAAACGAACTGTTGCAAGTTGAGGACTACCTGTAGTATCTGATCATTCACACCCCCTAGAGATGTGCCAGGCCAGGGGTAACCCAGTTGGCCCAGCTTACATGTAAAATTAAGCCCCTCAAGAAATACGAACATGCAGACCTTGTAATGCATGCCATCATGGGCATTTTCTGAAAGAAAAAAAGGAAATCTGTAAACTGTCATTAAAGAACAAAATATCCCAGAAGAGGTGGTACCAAGACAGGGGCTGGGCAAAGAGCTTAGCAGAACACAACAAATACAATGCTTTTCCTTCGGAAATATAATAATAATAATAATAATAATAATAATAGTAGTAGTAGTAGTAGTAGTAGTAGTAGTAGTAGTAGTAGTAGTAGTAAAGTTGGAAGGGACCTTGGAGGTCATCTGTCCAACCCCCTGCTCAGGCAGGAAACCCTATACCATTTCGGACAAAAGGCTCTCCAGTCTCTTCTTAAAAACCTCCAGTGGTGGAGCATTCACCGCTTCTGGAGGCAGGTTGTTCCATTGGTTAATTGTTCTAACTGTCAAGAAGTTTCTCCTTAGTTCTAGGTTGCTTCTCTCCTTGCTTAGTTTCCACCCGTTGCTTCTTGTCCTGCCTTCAGGCGCCTTGGAAAATAGCTTGACACCCTCTTCTTTGTGGCAGCCCCTGAGATATTGGAACACTGCTATCATGTCCCCCCTCGTCCTTCTCTTCATTAAACTAGACATATCCAATTCCAGCAGCCGTTCCTTATATGTTTTAGCCTCCAGTCCCCTAATCATCTTTGTTGCTCTTCTCTGTACTCTTTCTAGAGTCTCAACATCTTTTTTACATCGCGATGACCAAAACTGGATGCAGTATTAGTGTGGCCTTACCAAAACATTGTAAAGTGGTATTAACACTTTACGTCAGTGGTTCTCAACGTTTGTGTGACGGCGACTCCCGCCACACAAACGTTCTGCGCATGCGCGGTGCCGCACGCATGGGGGTCGGGGCCGCGCATGTGCGGCGCGCGTGCACAGCGCCGCCCCCATGCACGGTGCGCATGCGCAGCGCCGCCCCCTGGGGGGGGAAATGGCGGATCGCCTTCTTTGGCGACCCCCCAAAAATGGTCGATCGACCCCAAATGGGGTCGCGACCCATAGTTTGAGAACCGCTGCTTTACGTGATCTTGATTCTATCCCTTTGTTAATGTAGCTAGCACTGTGTTGGCCTTTTTGGCAGCTGCAGCACACTGCTGGCTCATATTTAGGTGATTGTCCACTAGGACCTCAAGGTCCATCTCACAGTTACTACTATTGAGCAAGGTACCCCCTATACTATACCTGTGCATTTGGTTTTTCTTGTCTAAATGTAGAACCTTGCTTTTTTCACCATTGAATTTCATTTTGTTAGATAGTGCCCAGTGTTCAAGTCTGTCCAGATCCTTCTGTATCTTAAGCCTGTCTTCTGGAGTGTTGGCTATTCCTGCCAGTTTGGTGTCGTCTTTAAATTTGATGAGTTCCCCATCTATCTCTTGTGCAAATCGTTGATATAGATGTTGAAGAGTACTGGGCCTAGAAGAGAGCCCTGGGGCACCCCACTACACACTTTCCTCCATGTAGATGCGGTTCCATTGAGGACCACATGCTGAGTACGGCCGATCAGCCAGCTACGGATCCATCTGGTGGTGGTGCTTTCTACCCCACATTTTTCTATTTTGTCAAGTAGTAGGTTGTGATCTACTTTATCAAATGCCTTACTGAAGTCCAAGTAAATTATTAAAATATTATTAAAATAGAGTTAGAAAGAAACAGTTGGACCAAGAAATTCCAGTCACAGTAGTGGTAATAATATTTAAGCTCCCCAAAACCGGGCTACAAGAAGAAAACGATCTAACCATGAAAATAGATCAGGGCTGTATCATCATGGGTGAGTCTATGACCATTTCTTACATTCATTTTATGAGAGAGTATAAAAAAAATCATCAGAAATGTAACTTAACACAGGATTGGGGAGGCATTAAATATTACATCTGCTGTTAATACCCTCTCTTGTCTTGTTCCATATTACATCAGTTCCTATTTGTTTCCCACAATTAATTTTTGTGTTGGTTCAATAGTTTTGAAGCTAGACATTCTCCTTCATCACTTTTATTCAATGTACAGTAGTAAAATTCTGAACATATTCTGGCTGAGCATACATGCCTAAATATCACCCTTCTAGGTGAATTAGTAGGGATGTTCAATATTTTTGCTACAATATCAGATGGTTGTGGTATCGTTATATCTACTTAAGTGGCGCACTAATTCTCACTTTGTACTTAGTTCAACTACTTCTCCTTTCTGAGAATCATTGTCCCCCAGCAGTGCTCTGATGGTTATCACCTGTTTACATGGGGGCACCTTTCGTACGTTGTTCTTCAGAGTGAAAGTACAAGAAGTCACCTACACATTTTTTTTGTAGTTTCATACTCCTACATGTTTGCTCTTCGCTTGTTTGAGTGTTTGGCTACCATAGCAGCCTCCAGTTATCACACGGATTTCTAAATGCTTGAAGAGTGAGATGAGCTGACACACCTAGAAAGTGCTAAAAATGTTTGAGAAGAGTGGCTAATCAAAGGTGGTGGTTAATTGGTCTGTTGAGGTAATGCTTGGCAGAGTACTTCATGCCTTGTCCTAAA